GTGTGTGTGTGTTCCTGCAGCGTTATTAACAGGGTATATGAGTTGTTTGACTTGAGTTTGGCAATAAGAGAAGTTCATGAGCTGTCGCAATGACAGAATGTAATACTTCCTCTGCATCAGCTGTGACAGCGCTGACATTAATCTCATCATCTCCATCAAGCCCTCAGTCAGGGAGAGCTGTGGAGAACACAGTGCACATCTGACACAGCTGAAACATCCCTCTTTTCATCCCTCATCTCCTCTTTTCCTTTACACTTTACACTTTTCATTTTCAGCTTTTCATTTCTTCTTCCCATTCCTTTTCTCCTTTTTCCCTCCTTTTTCCCCTTCTCTTTTCCCTTTCCTACTTTTCTCTCATGTCCCTCTTTTTTCTCGATTTCCCCCTTGTTTAATTTTTCCTCCCTTTCCTCATTATTTTTCTTTTCCTGTTTTTTCATTTCCTCCTTTTTTCCTCTTTCCCCATTTTTCCCATTTTTTCCCTTTTTTCTCTTTTCACCTTTCCCACATTTTTCTCCCTCTTTTCATTTCCCCCATTTTCTCCGTTTTCATCCATTGTTTCTTTTTCTTTCTTTCCCTTTTTTCTTTCCTCATTTTCCTCCCTTTTCTCCACAATTTTTTTCTTTCCCTCTTTTTTCTTTTTTTCTGTTTTTTTCTCTCTTTTTCACCTTTTCCATCTCTTATTTTTTCTCTCTTTTCCCATTTCCCCTCTTCTTTTGTCAGTTAATTCCCCCCATTTTCTCCCATTTTCTCCTCTTTTTTTCTCTCTGTTTTTCCTCTTTTTTTCATTTTTCCTTTTTTCCTGTTTCCCTGTTTTTTTCTCTGCCTTTTCCCTTTTCTCTTGATTTTTTTTTCTCCCTTTTTCATCCCCCTTGCCCCCTCTTTTTTTCCCATTTTCCTCTCTTCCCAGTTTTCTTTCCCTCCTTTCCTCCCATTTTCTCCCAATTTCTTTCTTTTCCTCGTCTCTTTTCTCAATTTCTCCACTTATTTTCTGTTTTTCATCCCTTTTTTTCACTTTCCCCTTTTTAACTTTCTCCCATTTTCCCCTTTTTTCTTTTCTTTTCATCTTTTTCCCCCTTTTTATCTTTTTTCCTCTTCCTCCTGTTTTTATTTCCTCTCTCCTTTTTCCGCTGGATTGTCTCCTATTTTTCTGTCCCTCTTTTTTTCCTAATTTTTCTTTCGATTCCCATTTTTCTTTTCTCTCTTTTCCCTTTTTTACATTTTCTCTCTTTCCCCTGTTTTCTCCTTTATTTCTCTATATTTCCCCTATTTTTTCTCCTGTTTCTCCTGTTTTTTCTTCCCCCTTCTTTTTTCTCAATTTCCTCTCTTAATTTCTGTTTTTCCCTTTCTTTTCCTCCCTCTTTTTTTTTCTTTCCGCTTTCCTACCTTTTCTCTTTTTCCCCCTCTGTTTTCTCGATTTCCCCTTTTTTCATTTTTTCACTTTCCCCGTTATTTTTCTCCTTTTTTTTCTTTTTTCTCGATTTCCCTTTTTTCATTTTTGCCCATTTCCTCCCTTTTTCCCTTTTTTTGTCCTCTTTTCTCTTTTTTCTCTTTTCACCTTTTCCACATTTTCCCCCTTTTCATTCCCCCTCCTTTTTTCTCCATTTTCATCCCTTGTTTCTTTTTCCTTCTTTCCCCTTTTTTCTTTCCTCATTTTCCTTCTTTTTCTCACAGTTTTTTTCTTTCCCTCTCTTTTTTCTCCATGTTCTCTTTTTTTCTGATTTCTCCTCTTATTTCTTCTGCCTTTTCCCATTCCCCGCTTTTTCCTTTTAATTTCCCTCTTTTTCTCCCCATTTTCTCCTCTTTTCCTCTGTTTTTGCTCTTTTTTCATTTTCTCTTTTCTTCCTCTGTTTCCCCATTTTTTTCACTGCCTTTTACTTTTTCTCTCAATTTTTTTTCTCCCCTTTTTTCACCCCTCTTTCCCCCTTTTTTTCTCCATTTTCATCCCTCCCCCTTTTTCTTTCCCACTTTTCCCCCCATTTTGTCCATTTTCTCCCATTTTTTTCTTTCCCCCTCCTTTCTCATTTTCTCCCTTTATTTTCTGTTTTTCCTCCCTTTTAATGTTCTTCCTTTTTTCCCCTTTTTCTTTTCTTTTCATCTTTTTCCCTTTTTATCTTTTTCTCCTCTTCCCCCTGTTTTTGTTTCCTCTCTCCTTTTTCCTCTGGATTTTCTCCTTTTTTTCTCTCTTTCCCCTGTTTTCTCCTTTATTTCTCTATATTTCCCCCATTTTTCCTCCTGTTTCTCCTGTTTTTTTCTTCCACCTCTTTTTTTCTCAATTTCCTCTATAAATTTCTGTTTTTCCCTTCCTTTTCCTCCCTCCCTTCTTTTTTCTTTTCCATGTGTTTATTTTTTCCTTTTTCACGCTTTTTTCTCTCTTTTTAATTCTTTCTCCTTTTCCCGTTTTTTCCCTCTTTTTCTCTTGAGTTTTTCACCTCTTTTTAGTTCCTCCCTTTTTCTTTTCTCCCTTTTTCTTTTTTCTCTCTCTTTTCTCACGTTTCCCCCTTTTTTTCTTGATTTTTCTCCTTTTTTTCATTTTTTTTCTTCAACTTGTTCTCATCCTTCTTTTCTTTCCTACTGTGTGTTTGTAAATGTGTGTGTGTGTGTGTGTGTGTGTGTGTGTGTGTGTGTGTGTGTGTGTGTGTGTGTGTGTGTTTTGTTGTACTCTCCCATTCACTGCACTCTATGTTTCTGTCGACTTCTGCTGCCGTAAACGTGTAAAGCTCTATTGGTTGTTATCGGGGAATAACATATCTTAGAATGTTGAGATCAACCAATCAGAATCGAGTATTCCAGAGCGCTGCATAATAAGTGTATACATCGATTACTGCAGCGGACTCAGCTCAGTCTACGTCATGTAAAGCACCATTGAAATTAATCTGATTTCTCCTCTATGTGTGTGTGTGTGTGTGTGTGTGTGTGTGTGTGTGTCAGGGTCAGACCGAGCTCCTGGAATGCGGATCTGGCCTCGATCTCCTCTTCCCAGAACAGTGTTTACCTGCCCAGCTCAGGTTATATCAGCGGCTCTCCCCCGCGGGACGACTGGGCCTCCGCTGATGTGCCTGTTATGAAGATGGGCTGGCTGGACAAGAATCCTCCTCAAGGGTGTGTGTGTGTGTTTATGGATATGTGTGTGTGTCTGTGCTTGTAAACATGTGCATGTGTTTTCTGAATGTGTGTGTGTGTGTGTCAATGTGTGCTCGCATATGTCTCTATGTGTGTTTGTTTGTTTGTCGCGTTTGTCTCTGTATGTGTGATTATGTGTTTGTTTGTTTGTTTGCATCTGTATGTGTTTGTAAATGTGTGCATGTGATTTCTGAATGTGTGTGTGTGTGTGTGTGTGTGTGTGTGTGTGTGTGTGTGTGTGTGTGTGTGTGCAGGTCTCTGATCTACCAGCGCCGTTGGGTCAAACTGGACTCTGAATACCTGAGATACTTCGACACTGAGAAGGTGTGTGTTTCTGTCTAAACCCCACATACATGAGCAAACTGGGAATGTGTACATGTATTTATTTGTGTGTGTGTGTGTGTGTGTGTGTGCAGGACGTGTACTCAAAGAGGATCATCTCGACGGCCTCCATCACTGATGTGGTGATTGTGGGAGATCAGAAGTTTGAAGTGGTCACACACAATCGCACGTTCCTCTTCAGAGCCGAGAGCGAGTGTAAGTGTGTGTGTAAGTGTGTGTGTGTTTATAAAGTGACCGACACACCCTGACGGTCAGTGAGGTTTTTGTAATCTGATCAGATATATTATGGTTTATTATGCTCTATGGTGTGGTATTGCACAGGAGGGCGAGTAACTTCAGCTTCAGCTCTTCATCATCAGGGTTATACCAGTTCTGGAGTTTTCAGTAGTTTAGTTTTTATTTCGTTTTGACTTTTTATTTTCAGATTCAGTCAGTTTCAACCAGTTTTAGAGGCAGATTTACTAGTTTTTTTAGTGTGCGTTCACACCTGTGAATGGATTCAGTTGTTCTGAAACAGAGATTACAATTGTTACAGTGTTGCTCTTTGCTCTTGGAGCGGTTCGCTTTCACACTGCAAAGTTTCTAATCGGACCAAAAGAGCTAAAACAAGTCACGTGCGAGTAAACTCTCCTCACATTGGTCAGAGTGTCAGGGTTTATTTTGCAGTGTCCCGCTCAGCTGTCAGGAGAGGTGGTGGTTTGGTGGTGATTGACAGGGTGCGCGCGACGTGTCTGAGGAGAGATGCGGTGGGGAGGGGTGAGAAGGGTGCGCGACGATGCCTATTTGAGGACCGGGAGGGAGATGCGAGATTACCGGAGATCATCACTCATTTGCGGGCATCTGGAGACTCACGAAACTTCCCGCCATACTCATAATTCTCTCTTCATATAGCCGTAAGCCTATTACATATCCATAAAACACTGTGATATAACCACGCTCGGATCTGATCGCTTTCTCACTGCAATCGATCTGCTCCAGGGTTCGTTTCAATCGAGCCGAGACCACCTCATTCAAGCGATCTCGGAGCGATTACTTTGGTGCGGAACAGAGCGCGATTGCCCTGTTCACATATGCCAAACGAACCGCGCTAACTGGGCAAACGAGACACGTTCCCAAACAAAAGTGTAGGTGTGAAAGCAGCCTTAGTTTCTATATTTTGAAATTTTTTTTTTTGTCAGTTTTAGTTTTTCGTTTGTTGTTGTTTTGTAAATGTGGATGTTTGTTCAGTGCCAGATTCAAAATCATCAGAATAAATATTGTATAATAAAAACTCAACTAAAGATGGGCTACATTTCTGACACAAGAACACAATCATCTACCCATCCTCAAATTCAAATACCGCAGCCCACAAGAGAGCATGCTGAAGTACAGTACTGTACGTGTGCAAGGCTGCTTCTGAAATTAGACACAAGGTGCATCCCAAATTCATACTTACTCACTATTCTACGCCATTTTGTATTATGAATAGTGTATAATAATAGTGTACATAGCGTGGGCCATTTATATCGATGCACCTTAATAAAATGGGAATAGTTTGTGATATTAGCGTTCTGTTTGTGGCACATTAGTGTATGTGTGGGGGCAAAGTTTTCAAGATGGGTGGTGACCATGGTGGCCATTTTGAAGTCGGCCATCTTGGATCTAACTTTTGTTTTTTCAATAGGAAGAGGGTCATGTGACACGTCAAACTTATTGGGAATTTCACAAGAAAAGCAATGGCGTGCTTGGTTTTAACGTAACTTTATTCTGTCATGAGTTATTGACAAGTTTCTGAACACTTCTAAAATGTGTTCAGTGTGCTGCCCATTGTGTTGGAGTGTCAGTGCAGCCCTCTTCTCCCACTCTTTACACACTGATAGCAACACCGCAGGAGAAATGCCAGCACCGGCTTCCAGTATCTGTAGTTTCAGGTGCTGCACATCTTGTATCTTCACAACAGTGGAGCCTTTCTTCATCAATGGAAACCACAAGGCCACTGGATATTTGAACATGCCACATGATGATGTGTTTCCCTCTGTATGCACTGACGCCGGCACGTTCCCTGAGTTTCTCCAGCAAGATGGTGCTCCACCACATTATGGGTTTCAGGTCCGAGCATTCCTAGATAAACAGTTTCCTGAGAAGTGGATTGTTCGTCGTGGGCCAGTTGAACGGCCCCCATGGTCTCCCGATCTGACCCCCTTAGACTTTTGTCTTTGGGGTCATCTGAAGGCAGTTGTCTATGGTGTGAAGATACAACATGTGCAGCACCTGAAACTACGGATACTGGAAGCCGGTGCTGGTGTTTCTCCTGCGGTGTTGCTATCAGTGTGTGAAGAGTGGGAGAAGAGGGCTGCATTGACAATCCAACACAATGGGCAGCACACTGAACACATTTTATAAGTGGTCAGAAACTTGTCAATAACTCATGAAAGAATAAAGTTACGTTAAAACCAAGCACACCATTGCTTTTCTTGTGAAATTTCCAATACATTTGACGTGTCACATGACCCTCTTCCTATTGAAAAAACAAAAGTTGGATCCAAGATGGCCGACTTCAAAATGGCCACCATGGTCATCATCCATCTTGAAAAGTTTGCCCCCTCACATATACTAATGTGACACTAACAGGATGTTAATATCACCAACCATTCCCAATTTATTAAGGTGTATCCATATAAATGGCCCACCCTGTAAAATAAGAAGTGCGTTCACACTGAAAACTCAATAAGTGCACTTTAATTACCTAATTACCCCTTTAATTAGTTTCTTTTTCCTCCCATCCTGTAGCCTACTCGCGCCCCCTGTGAGCGTGTCCCCACTGGTTGAGAACAGCAGGATTTCAGACTCTGTTTACTTCTAAAAGAATTACAGTAGTTTTATGTATTAAATATATTTACAAAGACGAAAACAAATACAATGCAGAAAATTACAATACAGTTTCAGTGAAACTCTCGTTTTATTTTTATTTCATTTTTATTTTCCGTTCGTGTTCATCATCTCTTATAACCTTGATATCAGTGCTGTATTCAGATCAGTTTAGCGTGTGTGTGTTGTCCCGTATTGATTGTGTGTATTCTTGTGGCTGCATTATCAGTGGAGCGCTCCGAGTGGGTTTCTGCGCTGAGGAGCACTGTAGGAGTGTCTCGAGCAAACGCATGTCTGGACCCAGAGATGAAGGGCTATCTGGAGCTGCGCGGCCTGCGCTCCAAACTCTACACGGTGGTGTGTGCGGATAAAGTCTTCCTTTACAAGAACACAGAGGTGACACACTTCAACACCCAGCACAAACGCTTTTAACAGGCTTTTTCTGCTGCGCAGGTATGAGTCAAGCTGGAGACTTTTTAAATGTTTTGCTTTTTCTGCACAGAATTCGGTACAATCAAATCAAATCAGGCCTTTATTTGTCACGTACACTTTCGTATGGTGAAATTGAAGCCCCCGACCATACACAAACATCACATCAAGACAGGTCACAGCAGGTAGCATTTAGAAAAAGGAAGTAAGATGCATTTCAGGAGGGGGAGGCGAAAAAATAAAATAAAACTTACTCTCGCCTTGCTCTTGAATTAGGCCAGTGTGAGATCAGGAGGAAAAAAAGCCCAGCAATCAAGCCCATAAACACACAGAGAAGACATAACAACGCCACAGGGGATGGGGACAGGGGGTGTGGATATAGTCTGATGTGGTTCTGGTCCTGCAGCCATGGTCGCAGACTCGCCTACCCCCTCCTGTGGATGAAAGCACATGAAGGCATGGGATGAGGGGATAGGTAGTGATTGTCTATTCGTAGCTGTGAATGTGTGTGTGTAATGCTGCCTTCACACCAGACACGGAATGTGCGTCAAGCGTAAGTGATTTACATGTTAAGTCAATGCCTACACGTGAATAGACATCCTGCGGCGCAATACGCGCGAATGGCGCAGTGCAAATGACACGAAGTGTGCGAATGGCGTGGCGCGAATTGAGCGTTTTGCGCGTTTGACGTGCTTAATGCGCGTTTCGCACGAATCACTTGAGTTCGAAAATCTGAACTTCAGCGGACATTCGCACCACGTTAACCAATCAGGAGCTTGCTCTTGTGGGGGCGTGATTGTGACGTATCGCCTGTTGTCGGTGTCCCAGGGGAAATCCTCCAGCCGACACTGAAGAGCTTAATTTGCTCTTCAGTGTTTGAACTCTCAGTAATGAATAAATCACACTGAACTGAGCTAAACTGAATTGAACTGAACTTAAACACTAAAACCTAAACCACACTGTTCCAATTACTATGACCATTTATGTGAAGCTGCTTTGACACAATCTACATTGTAAAAGCGCTGTACAAATAAAGCTGAATTGAATTGAATTGACACCGACATGAAGTTCATCAAACTGGGCTGGGCTCAGTCAGATGCACCGCTGAAAGCCTCCATCATCCAGGTTCAGTTTCTGGAGGAGTCTATGAGCTCACAGAGCTGGATGCACCTCTGAAAGTATCTAGTGGACTCAGACTCGGCCCTGAACTTATCGACACTGTTTTTCAGTCTTCATAAAGCACATAAACACTGTTAATTTCTTAATAAAATCCATGTTAGCCATTTAGCAATGAAGCTAGAGTCACCGGGTAGACAGAAGCCCTGCCCATCACGCGAGTCCGCGTCTGTTCACGCGGCTATTTATGCATGAATAGCGCGATTTATCCGCACGATCCATGTCTGGTGTGAACGCAGCATAAGCCTGTAGAGTCCAACAGGTGTCCTTGACAGAAAGTGATGTCCTAGAAACCACTTAAAACGCATGGCAACAATGCACTAAAACTTATTGAAAGTCCCTAGCAACCACCTAGTGATACCCTAGCAACCACACTAACGCCCCTAGCACCCTTCAGGTGTCCACTCCCGTTGAAGAGAAGTAATAAAATACACTTTTATTAATAAAATAAAGTCCAGTGAAAAAGTAGAATAAACAAAAGACAAACAACAGAAACAAAATCCTTACTTTATCCTCTGTCAAGGATAAAGGGCAACCAACCTCAGTATACAGAAGTCAGAAAGCGCAAAGCTTTTACACTCATGCATAGAGGATCAACTCTGAAACCGTGTTGGGAGACGGGGTTCAGAAACAGTGTTCATAAATCCCCCATGAACACAAGTGCATAACTGAATTAAATCATACGTTCAGGGAGCATGCTGATCACTTGAACAGTAGGAGACCCTTAGAGAGGCAGATACATAGTCATCCGAGTACATTATAAAACATAAATCCACATTTAGGCAGCTTTATTATCAGCCTGAATATATAGTGTGCCTACACACTCATGCACTTAGATTCATGTGTGTAAACTGAGCAGGGAGGTCAGCCAAAGTTCCTTTAGCTGGTTTGTTGGTTCGGCGCACCCTCTGTCGGACGCCTCTCATTTCTCTTTCGCTTGGCTTCATCATTAAGAGTTGTGCTTTTACACATAGGAACATCAGAATACATTAGTGATTTTTTGTGTCTTATTTGATTAGTGTCATCGGACCAATCAGACACTACAGAAGTTAGCAGAAAACAGCATGTTTTACTATGGATTTTAGACCTACGGCACTGCCATTTTGGAATATCTGAGTGTGACGTCACGGGGTTGGTTCTGTTCCCTCAGCTGAACAGATACAGTGGAAGTAATGGACTGAACACACACACTGTAAAGCCTAATGTAACCCAATGTGTGAAGTTGCGGATGTGTAGCTGCTGCAGATACAAGCATCAGATGCATGTCTGAAATAAAGATCTATATTTATTGTATTTTTCCTTTTTCCCTTTTAAATGATCTATTAAACGCTGATAAAACAAAACTCATGTTATTTTCAGAATTAAAAACAAACTAAGCAAAAGCTTTCACTACTACTCATGGTGCAGAGATTGAATGGGTGTCCCAGTACAAATATCATGGGATGTTAATTGATGATACACTTTCTTTTAGTTCTCACATTCAGCAATAGCTGAACAAATTAAAAGTGATTTTAGGCTTCTGTTTTAGAATTAAGATCTGCCTTTCTTTTGAATATTATTATTATTTATATCAGACACACATCTGATGCTTGTTTTTGCAGCAGCTCCACGTCTACAACTTCACACATGATAAAGCATGCTGTTTTCTGCTAAATGCTAACATTAATCCAGTTCGTTTAATATATTTTCATTAAAGTGGAAACCAGTTTACAAAATAACGTCAACTTGACTGAGTGCTTCATTTCCCCTTCAATGCAATTTATCAAGCATAGTGACGTATGAAGACGTTGATATTTCACTGTTCAACTGCAATGGCTTTGCATGCAATGTGTGTGTGTGTGTGTGTGTGTGTGTGTGTGTGTGTGTGTGTGTGTGTGTGTGTGTGTGTGTGTGTGTGTGTGTGTGTGTGTGTGTGTGTGTGTGTGTGTGTGTGTGTGTGTGTGTGTGTGTGTGTGTGTAAAGTGACCCTTTTCTTTTATCTGATTGTTTCGCTCAGTTTGATTACATATTTTGAAACTGACTGTGTGTGTTTGTGTGCACACAATAATCTAACACTGTTCCATTACTGTGTGTGTGTGTGTGTGTGTGTGTGTATGTGCGTGTGTGTGATTTGATTCCATATTTTGAAACTGCATGTGTGTGTTGCGCATAATAATCGAACACTTTTTTTCGTTGCTGTGTGTGTGTGTGTGTGTGTGTGTGTGTGTGTGTGTGTGTGTGTGTGTGTGTGTGTGTGTGTGTGTGTGTGTCAGGAATACCGTCTGGGGATCGGCATCACCTCCATCGATATGAATGTTGGTAATGTGAAGGAGATCGACAGAAGAGCGTTTGATCTGACCACACCGTATCGCATCTTCAGGTACAGATTCACCTCCACTGATCCCTCCATCCCTCACTCGTCTGCTGCTCTCTGTTTCCCTGGTCTCTTCATCACTGAAAGTATTGATCTGTGAAGGGTCTGACTGACACTATAGGCTTTTAATATCTGTGCCTAACCCCGCCCCTCATTGTGACATCACTTGCTTTATTCATAGTTTTCACGTGATGTCACACCATTATGGGAAACGCCCCCTGGTGGGCAAAATATTACTGCCTCCCACTGTCTGCCAAGTCACATAGAGACTTCTCTTTTATAGCCAAAGCAGGTTAAATGTTGTGCTATAAGATGAGGCATTACTAACCTGATTAGACACACCTGTGTGTGTTTGGGTTGGAGTTTGTGTGTGTATTTGTGTATCTGTGTGATTGGGAATGTGTGATATGTTTGTGTGTTGATAATATTATGTGTGATAAATGGTGTGTATGTGTCTGCAGGGCTCGAAATTAACCTTTTTACTCTGTAGCACCAGTGCTCCTTACTTTAAATATTTAGGGCGCACCAGCCAAAATTGAGTCTCACCCCCCCAAAAAATATGAGCAGCGTCACTAAACGTTTTATATTAACAGATTAATTGCATTTGAATTCAATGCTCATTATAAATAACTATCAAACTATTTCTGCATGCACCCACCGGCCTGCACACACTGCCGGACATGAGTGAGACGACCTATAATAATAAGGTCACGTTTACGTAGTCAGCCTGGTGAAAGGGCTGGTTCTTTATTTTTTGGACCTTTTTGCATTTATACGCCTCCAGTTTCAATTTAACTGAGATTTAAATACTGCATTTTAGTGACATTTCTTTGCTGGATTAGCTAGTCAGATGTCATCATAACCACACTTTTTGATGTACTAAAAATATTAAAATAATTGCAATTAAAAAATATTTAAATAAGACAAATTTTTAAAATACAAATTTATTACATCATATATCATTAGAAAAAATAGCTGTCTGTTAAAGTCTTAAAGTAAAAAAACTGCAGCCTACTGTCATTTATTAGACAAAAAACAAACTGGACAGCACATTCAACTGTCCTCAGTCACAATTTGGCCATTTCAATAAAAAATAATAATCAAAACATAATAATAATAATAAAGTAATAATAATAAAATTAATAATAATAATAATAATAAAGTAATACTAATAATAATAATAATAATAATAATAATAATATTAATAAAAATAATAATAATAAAATAATAATAAAAAAATAATAAAGACAATAATAAAATTTATAATAATAATAATAAAAAATAAAAATAAATAATAATAATAATAATAATAATAATACAATAATAATAAATAAAAATACTAAAAATAAATAATAATAATAATAAAATAGTAATACTAATAATAAAAACAAATAATAATAATAATAATAAAATAATAGTAATACTAATAATAAAAATAAATAATAATAATCATACAATAATAATAAATAAAAATACAAAAAATAAATAATAATAATAATAAATAGTAATACTAATAATAAAAATAAATAATAATAATAATATTAATAATAATAATAATACATTAATAATAGTGAATTCTTCAGAATATTTCTAGCCTCTTTGGTTAAAAAAAAGTACATTTGAAAATTCCTGGACATCAACAATAGCCAAAATATATTCAACTCAATTTAATACGGGCCGCTTCTGATGCTTCACACCTTTTTATTTAGCATTTTTTTATTTCAGGAATAAGCTCCAAGATTTAGAATAAAGTTCCTTCAAAATGTTTTCTCTGTTTAAAAGCAACACAGTAGCGAAAGAAGACTTCTCCTACATCAGATTATAGTCCCACTGAAGCAGCAGCCGACAGAGGATTCCGATTGGTCCTAAAGCCTTTTTCAATGGATTATTTTCATTACTTATGATGGCATAGCAGTCAAAATAGGACAAATGATCTCATATAGGGCCAAATTCTGGAGCTTGGGTCTTCCAAACCACCCGAACCCCCCTGGCCACAGGCCTAAAAAGTTAGAGCATGTTTTCTGCTTATAGTAAACATGTTTTAATAGAGTTCTGGCTGTAAAAGCGCTCCTACAGGTGTTTCAGGCGCAGGACAGACTATCTCCAGCTCATAATTTATTTTATTTATATTAATTGTGACTAAAAAATGATTAGACCCGTCCAGTTTCATCTGGAATACATCCCAGATCACCTTCTGAAGTGGTTCGAGCCATCGAGTTTATATGCGATCAGAGTAAAACAAACGAAGTTACAGGCATGTGATGAACTGCTGTGAGTGTAACTGCAGGCGCTGTGTGATGAAGGGGAGTCAGACTTTAGTACAGCTTTCCTTCATCTCCTCTTGTGGGTGGGCCCAGATGCACTGGTTGCTACTGACTGAATGGAGTAGGAGCACACAGTTGCGTTCCGCTAAACAGGTTGCATGTAATATTTACATTTCAAAACCACCCAAGTTTAGTCAAGCTGCCAATGCCATATATTACCCGCACAATCAAGTTCAAAACCGCCCAATCTGGCAACACTGTGTGGGTCTTCACACACGCTTTTCCTTTCACATCATTAAACCGCAGAGAAGCGCCACCATGCCGCAAGTTTAATGACGTACACAACAGAACGCCTCAATAAATCCCATCTGCCTGTTTCGCTCAGATAATATTTTGGGCGCATATGTGACACAATTTCCAGCCCTGATGTGGGTAACTCCTGTACAGTGAGTGTGTGTGTGTGTGTGTGTGTGTGTGTGTGTGTGTGTGTGTGTGTGTGTGTTTGTGTGGTACAGTGAGTGTATGCATGTGTTAGTGTGAGAATGTGTGCTTATGCGTGTGTGTGTGCATGATGACAGAATATGTTTGTGAGATGCATTGGCAGTAAGTGTGTGTGTCTGTGTGAGACTGTAAATGTGTGTGTGTGTGTGTGTGTTCTGCTTCTCTCACAGCTGTTGTGGTTTTGTGTATTTTTACTGGTTTGGGTTTTCTCTTCTTCTGCTTCTCGGTGAGGTCAGATGCACGTCTGTGAACTCAACAAACCGGTTACACACACACACACACTGCACTCCACAACATCAGCCTGCATGCAAACACACTCAACATCTCTCACTTAAATGATATCAGTGTAAAAATCACAATATAGAAAACAACACAACTACAGCATTAGCACTGTTAACGAGAATAAACAGGTGTGTGTCACTGGTGAAATGATGTCAGGATGCACTCTAATGTTTGTGTATGTGTGTGTGTGTTTGTATGTTTATGTTTTGTGATTGTGCTTGTGTGTGTTTTGCATGTATGTGTGTATGTGTGCATCTATATACGCAAACAAATATGTATATATACAAATATGTGTGTGTTTGTTTGCATCTGTCTGTTGTGGGTGTTCTTTGTGTGTGTGTGTGTGTGTGCTTTTGTGTATTTGTGTGTGTGTGTGTGTGTGTGTGTGTGTGCACGTCTGTGTGTGTTTTTGTGTATTTGTGTTTGTGCTTGTGTGTGCGTGTGTTGTATTTTTTGTGTGTCTGTGCTTGTGTTTCTATGTCTGTACTTGTGTTTGTATGTCTGTGTGTGTGTGCATGTGTGTGTTTGTGTGTGTGTGTAGTTTTGTTGCAGATTCAGACCAGCTGAAGGATCAGTGGGTGGAGTCTATGCGTGACTCCATCGCTGAAGCTTTGTCCAATTACGAAGTGGCTGAGCGGATCTGGGCGGAGCCGTCCAATCAGATGTGTGCAGACTGCAGCGCAGCCAAACCTGAGTGGGCCTCCATCAACCTGACGGTGGTGTTCTGCAAGAGATGCGCAGGTGACCACCAACATCCATCTACTACAACAAACACCACTGTTCATCAGCAGAAGACATGTGCTGATATTGGCCAGCCTACAGTGACTGAACGATATTGTGTTTCTGTGTGTCTGTGTGTGTTTGTGTTTGTGTGTGTGTGTGTGTGTGACAGGAGAGCACAGAAGTCTTGGCCCGAGCATCTCAAAAGTACGCAGTCTGAAAATGGACAAGAAGGTGTGGACTGAAGATCTGATTCAGGTGTGTTGTGTGTCCTCCTGGACCTTTGGTGTGTTTGACCCCTCACCTGTAACACACCTCACACACCTATTAACCAAAGACTACAATACACAAGACATGTCACTCGTATAGTTTTGAATGGGGAAAAGTGTAACAGCCAATATGGCAAATGAAGCCCCGCCTTCTAGTTCAGGAGCCAATCATCGATCGCTATAGACCTTGGTCCAGTCCAGATGTGTGTTTATGACAGTTTCTGCAGCTTCATTATTAACCCTGGATCAGCAAGTGCTCTGGAGTCTCAGTGAATATTTGCTCCACACACATGAGAAATATATCCACAGAAAACTGGAAACCACTACATTAAAGCCAGCCGACTACTCTTGAAAACAAATATTCCCTGGTTTTATAATCTGTATGAAATGAGTGCTAGGCTAGGTACAGTCCATCCTGTTACACACACATCACAGCATCTACTCTAACACACACACACACACTTAGCAGCGCAGTCAGACGATCATTTTTCAGAGGAGGATCATGTGGAACTCTAAACACACACAGCTGTAGTGTCGGCTGGTGTCGTGATCTTGATCTGGGTTGTGTTGAGTGTGCATTAGATGGGTCAGCCTGATCACATCACCCGTAACACACATCACCCGTAACACACATCACCCGTAACACACATCACCCGTAACGCACCTCACCCGTAACACACATCACCCGTAACACACATCACCCGTAACGCACATCACCCGTAACACACATCACCCGTAACACACATCACCCGTAACACACATCACCCGTAACGCACATCACCCGTAACGCACATCACCCTTAACACACATCACCCTTAACGCACCTCACCCGTAACACACATCACCCGTAACGCACATCACCCGGAACGCACATCACCCGTAACACACATCACCCGTAACACATCTCACCCGTAACGCACCTCACCCGTAACACACATCACCCGTAACGCATATCACCCTTAACGCACCTCACCCGTAACGCACCTCACCCGTAACGCACCTCACCCGTAACGCACATCACCCGTAACGCACCTCACCCGTAACACACATCACCCGTAACACACATCACCCGTAACGCACCTCACCCGTAACACACCTCACCCGTAACACACCTCACCCGTAACACACATCACCCGTAACACACATCACCCGTAACGCACCTCACCCGTAACACACCTCACATGTAACGCACCTCACCCGTAACGCACATCACCCGTAACACACCTCACCCGTAACACACATCACCCGTAACGCACCTCACCCGTAACGCACCTCACCCGTAACGCACCTCACATGTAACGCACATCACCCGTAACACACATCACCCGTAACACACATCACCCGTAACACACATCACCCGTAACGCACCTCACCCGTAACACACCTCACATGTAACGCACCTCACCCGTAACGCACATCACCCGTAACACACCTCTCCCGTAACACACATCACCCGTAACGCACCTCACCCGTAACGCACCTCACCCGTAACGCACCTCACATGTAACGCACATCACCCGTAACACACATCACCCGTAACACACATCACCCGTAACGCACCTCACCCGTAACGCACCTCACCCGTAACACACATCACCCTTAACGCACCTCACCCGTAACGCACCTCACCCGTAACGCACCTTACCCGTAACGCACATCACCTGTAACGCACCTCACCCGTAACGCACCTCACCCGTAACGCACCTCACCCGTAACGCACCTCACCCGTAACGCACCTCACCCGTAACGCACCTCACCCGTAACGCACCTCACCCGTAACGCACATCACCCGTAACGCACATCACCCGTAACGCACATCACCCGTAACGCACCTCACCCGTAACGCACCTCACCCGTAACGCACCTCACCCGTAACGCACCTCACCCGTAACGCACCTCACCCGTAACACACATCACCCGTAACACACATCACCCGTAACACACCTCGCCTGTGTGTCCTGCAGGTCTTCATCACTGTGGGGAACCATCGAGCTAATCAGTTCTGGGCGGCGAACGTCCCGCCTAGCGAAGAGCTAACGCTAAACAGTAGCAGTGCAGAGCGACGGCGCTTCATCACCGCCAAATACAGAGAGGGGAAATACCGCAGATACCACCCACTGTTCGGCAACCAGAGAGAGCTCAACAACGTAAGTCTGACTCACTGCAGCGTCACAACTCTCTCTCTGTGTGTGTGTGTGTGTGTGCATGCATTATTCTGTTTGTGTGTTTTGTGTGTGTGTGTGTGGTAGTGTTAGTGCATTAATGTGTGTGTGCATGTTAGTGTGTTTATGTGGATTTTTGTGTGTTTATGTCTGTCTGTGCAATTGTCACAACTCTCTCTGTGTGTGAGTGTGTGCATGCTTGTATATGTGTTTACTTGTGTTTTTTGTGTGTGAGTGTGTGTTTGTGCATTTGTATATTTGTGGGTGTGAGTGCATGTTTGTGTATTTGTGTGTTTGCATGTATTTGAGGTGTTTGTATTTGTGTTTGTGTGTGTGTGTGTGTGTGTGTGTGTGTGTGTGTGTGTGTGTGTGTGTGTGTGTGTGTGTGAATGCTTGTTTGGGTTAGGTGTTTACGTGTGTGTGTTTGTGCATTTGTGTATTGTGTGTTAGTGTGTTTTATCGTATTTGTCTGTGTGTAAATGTGTTAGTGTGTTTGTGCAATTGTATATTTGTGAGTGTAAGTGCGTGTTATTGTGTGTGTGTGTGTGTGTGTGTGTGTGTGTGTGTGTGTGTGTGTGTGTGTGTGTGTGTGTGTTTGCATGTTTGTGTGTATTCAAGTATTTTTATGTGTGTGAATACATGTTTGTGTTTAGGTATATGTTGGTGTGTGTTTGTGCATTTGTGTATTGTGTTTTAGTGTGTGTTTGTGCATTTGTCTGTTTATGTGTGTGTGTGTGAGAGAGTACATGTTAGCGTGTTTTTAAGTGTGCTTGTGTATTTGTTTCTGTTTACGTGTGTGTAAGTGCATGTTTGTGTGTGTGTGTGTGTGTGTGCGCATTTGTGTCTGTTTATGTGTATGTGTGAGAGTGCATGTTAGCATGTTTTTAAGTGTGCTTGTGTATTTTTGTGTTTACGTGTGTGTAAGTGCATGTTTGTGTGTGTGTTTGTGCATTTGTGTGTGTTTGCATGAGTGTGTGNTTGTGCATTTGTCTGTTTATGTGTGTGTGTGTGAGAGAGTACATGTTAGCGTGTTTT